AAAATATTTTTATTTTTTTTTAAGTTTTGTGGAAATTATCAGCAGAGGTCGAAAATTCTAAACAAAAGAACCTTTTAGAGAGAAGTTGGTGCGTAGTCTTCCATTACCATCCACAACAGCATCCCCAAACTTGTTGTGTTTTTATTTGTTTTGGAGCCTCCAGAGGCCCGGGCGGCGAGGCGCGGCGCAGCGGCCGGTCTCCAGCGGTCTCCAGCAGGAACCCGGCTGGCGGCCAGGCACAGGCACACCACCACTGGTTGCCCTTGGCGGAGAAATGGCTACACGTACAGAAAATAAAACGAAAATGCGCCAAACTGGGGAGATAAAATAATATGAAAACAAACCCGACGAAAATGGTTGTGTTTCAGGATTTGATAACAACACAAAGAGAGTCAGCAGCCAGGATCCTACCGCCTCCCCTGTCTTCTCCGGCGTGCCCCCTCCAGGTGCCCGTGACCTTGTCGAGGATACAGGACCAGGGTATCGACGACCCGCTGCCTTTCCGCGTTGGCTGGCTACCGCCATAACCAGGCACATCGACTGGCGCGGAAGTCCCAAAGATTCTCGTCGTCGTAGCAGTAATAAATTGATGGCACTTTTATTTCACCATCTCACTATCCAGGAAAAAGAGAAAGAACATAGAAGAACCTGGAAATAAGAATTCTACCCCGACTTTTGTGGTAACACGGCCGTGGTGGCGGCGTAGTACCCCGTTGCCGGTCTCCGAGCCTCTTGTTTCAACCTGCAAGCAAGCAGCAGGCGGTTAGGCGGCTTCGGGTCGGGGCGGCAAACAGAGACAGACACATCCAATATTTGGACACGTTGCGGGGCGGGCCGTGCCCGTGCAGCAGCACCAGCACCACTCTCTGCGCGCCGCTTGGTTGTGCGAGAGAGACGGGACCATAGCCACCTGTCTGCAAGACGCTTCTTCTTGAGGTGGAGCAGGAGGGGTTGGCGTCGTTGGCCCGGCGGCGGCCACCTCATGGCGGCGTCGCGACGCGCCGCTACCGCAACCGCGCCGTCCGCCAATCACAGCGCTCGCAGTGCGCAACCTCGCCGCCACCCCCTTTCGTGCCGCCCCGTCCGTCCGTCCGCACCACACCGCGCCGGTCGGTGCCGGCCATCGCAGAGTATATGAATGAATGGAGCTGCCCTGCTGGCCTCGCGGGCAGCGGCGGCAGCAGCGGCAGCAGCAGCAGCGGCGGCAGCAGCAGCAGCGGCAGCAGCAGCAGCGGCGGCGGCGGACTCTTCCATTCACAACGGGGCTAACTACACTAACAACCTCCCCCGCTCCAACAGGTGTGTCGCGGCGCGGCGCAGCAAGAGAGTTCCGCCTCCCCCCCACGACATCACATCCACTCGACGACACAAGAACACACACTCGCCTAATCAGGCTGCTTGATGCCGTGTGTGTATGTGTGTGTGTGATGCATACGGACACACATATGCGAGCCATACGCACACACACTTTGCCCGCCGCACCGCACCGCGCGGCCGCGCGGTGTTTCGTCGTCGTCGTGACAGCCAAGTGTTGTCGTGCTTTTTTGTGGTGTGTCAAATGCCGCTGTGTGCATCATGTGAGTAACGACTGCTGTGCTGCTGCTGCTGCTAGGGAGGGGCATGTATCGCAGAAGAAAGACAGACACAGACAGACGCACAGACGCACACGGCTCCGCGCGACTGCTAATGGCTGGGGCGTACCATAAGTGTGGCCGGCTCATGCAATAAGACAAACACACGCACACACACACACATGCAAACAATTATTTGCGGATGCTATTGCTCTGCTGCTGCGGTATTAACCCACTTATGCGTGTATACTACTACACAAGCGTACATAAGCTAATGAGAGGAATGGGTCAGTGTGATGGTGAGCGCGGTGCGCGAGTCCACCTTTTTGTCCTCGTCGGGCGCGCAGACCCTCGGGTGCACGCGTTAAACTGCTAAGACAAGTTTAGTCTCTTCCCGGAGCTTTACGTCTGCTCATGTTGTTGGAGGTTGGGGGGCACGCGGTCGCGGTGTGGCGGTGGCGCCGCGCCATGACGTCAATGAGGCTGACGATTGTGGGCGGCAGAAGCGTGTAATTATTATTTTTCCTCAACCGCGCCTTCGCGCTACTTTTATTTTCTGGTTTATTTCACATTTTTTGCGATTTTAAATTTGCGCGGCGTTGTACGACTTTTTTTCCTTTTCTTTTCCTTTTGTTGGAGTTTTGGGGGCTTATAATAGTTTCTTTATTTTTTTTTTCAGTGCTCCACCGGCCCGACGTTGATATGCGCCCGCAGCATCAGTGGCGCAGCGCAGCATGACTTTGGAGCGGCTCCCGGAAGCGAACTCATAAAAGGCTCCTCCATGCGTCGGCGCCGCGCAGAGCGACAGGCAGAGCCAGGTGGCCGATGAGGAGTGTGATGGTGGTGAAGAGGAGAGTGAAGACGGCGGGAATCATCGAACCACTCTCAGTTTTCCCGCGCATGTAAGCAAAAAGGCTTTCTCCGGACTGAGGGGGAGAGGGGGGGGGGGTGTTGAACTGCTGTCTGAAAAAACATATCTCTCTGGGATATTGTGTTGTTGATTGCTCAGTTTTTTCACGCCTCGTCTCCAATTGGTCTCGTCTTTCTCCACGCAGGGCCAGCCATCTGAGTTGTGACAACACCGCATCTAAACTATGAGCCCATGTGACAACATGTTACTCACACACACACACACTCATACACTCACACTAGCGGCAGTCTGTGCGCGGGTCTTTTTCATTCCGGCCGTGACAGATGAATGCATTGAAGTTTCTTGAGCCCTTGTGTCACCCCTCCGCTCCCTGTCTCTCTCACTCGCGCTAATTACCCCTTCCACTCTGTCACTCTCCCTCTCTCTTTCTTTCTCTCTCTCTCTCCCTCCCTCCCATCCTGGGGGTCCCCCGCAGCCCCCTCCCCTACGCTCCCCCACGTGGTGCATGGCAACGCTCCAATGCGGGGGGGCACCCGGTGGGGACCACCACAAGTTTGTTCCCAATTGGAGACGTCCCATATTTTTATTTTGTTGTGACCCATACGAACGGGGAAATTCCAGCAAGATTATATGCACTGCACGCTTTTCAGCAGTGTGCTAGACATTCGACGACTCGTCACTGCCACGGCCTCTTCTAATCCACCCTTCTCCTTCCATTTCAGCTTTGCTCGCCCGTACGAAAAAGTTTAGTCCGGCATCAGTCCGTTTTCGGTCCGGAAAGAGTCCGCACCCCTGTGGACCAGTCCGCGTTCGATCCGTCGTGCACCGGACTAGTCCGCTTTTAGTACCCCCGGGCGTGCGGACTAGTCCGCTTTGAGGTCGCAGCGGCCAAGTGCGATGCCGGACCAGTACGCAGATAGTCCGTCCTCGGCGGACCAGTCCGCGATCAGTCCGGTGCGCACCAAAAGCGGACTAGTTCCAGCCGGACTAGTCCGGCAAATAGGTCGTTTTTTGGTCGTTCTGGCCTTTTTCGCGGACTAGTCCGCGCGCTTTGGCGGACTGATGCCGGACTGTCCAGCCGGACTCTTTCCGGACCGAAAACGGACTGATGCCGGACTAAACTTTTTCGTACGGGCGTCATCGGGTTTCATATTTCAGCCTATGTTTCCACTCGCCACGCCACGTCAAGCACCTCCCCGCGACTCATCGGTATAAACAAGGAAGGGAGTCGCGTGGAAAAAACACTCGGGGCGCGCACTCTTGACTCGAAATACACAATCCCGGATCTTTATAGACGAAGATGACGGTCGATGAAAAGTTTATACCAGCAAAGGCAAGTGCGTTTTTACTCTTTATCGGACAGAGGAGGAGAAGGGGGAGGATTGAGGCGGCCGCCACGTCCCCCAGAGTGTGATTCCGTGACGCTCTGTGTACAACTACAGGTTTACAGCTCGCACTCGGGAAGATGAGTTGAGTAATTCCAGCGAGGCATCATATGGCCATTGCTGTAGTTGAGCCCCTCCCCTCCCCTGCTCCTCCTCCTCTTCCCCCTCCTCCTTCTGCAGCAGCAGCTTGATGAATGCACTGCGAAAAATATAAGACGGCACGCGGCCGTGCTGTGCTTGTGCTGTGCTTGTGCCGTGCTTGTGCCGTGCTTGTGCACTGCTTGTGCTTGTGCTGTGCTTGTGCCGTGCTTTTGCAGTCTCGGCGCAAAGTGCGTCTGCGCGCCGGTGACGTCCGTTGATGGGAAAAGCGTGTCGACCGGTGGAGCGGGACGCGCGCAATGAAGGTGATGCTGATCCCTCCCCTCCGGCCCCGGCTCCCCTGCCTGCCTCACCACCCCGGACAGGTGTGACGATACCGTGAGGGGGAGGCCGAGGAGGCATAAAGACAGGTGCTGATCTTCGTCGCTCCGCTACCGCATGAAAATCCAACGGACTCTCCCACAGATCAGTACAGGCCGGGGGACTCTCCCCCTCCCAAAAGGGCTGCACGGCGGCGGCGTGCGCACCCGGCCGCCGCCCCCCAACCCCCCG